ATGGGGGGAGCACTCCTCCCTCGCTCCCCTCATGCGGACAGTAACTAGAAGTCGGCCTGGAAGTCAGCCAGATGCATGGGGAAGAGAAGAGAAGTGGGCGAGGCATTTTGCTGGTGTTTTACCTAGTGGGGTTGCTTCCGGACAGAAGAAAGGAAAAAAAAACCCAAACCAGACAGACACAGAGAGAGAGAGAGAGAGAGAGAGAGAGAGAGAGAGAGAGAGAGAGAGAGAGAGAGAGAGAGAGAGAGAGAGAGAGAGAGAGAGAGACAGAGAGAGAAGAGAGAGACAAGAGAGAGAGAGAGGACAGAGAGAGAGAAGAGAGAGAGAGAGAGACAGAGAGAGAGAGAGACAGAGAGAGACAGAGAGAGACAGAGAGAGAGAGAGAGAGAGAGAGAGAGAGAGAGAGAGAGACAGAGAGAGAGACAGAGAGAGAGAGAGAGAGAGACAGAGAGAAAAAGAGAGAGGAGGAAGAGAGAGAGAGAGAGAGAGAGAGAGAGAGACAGAGAGAGACAGAGAGAGAAGAGAGAGAGAGAGAGAGAAAGAGAGAGACAGAGAGAGACAGAGAGAAGACAGAGAGAGAGAGAGAGAGAGAGACAGAGAGAAAAAGAGAGAGGGAGAGAGAGAGAGAGAGAGAGAGAGAGAGAGAGAGAGAGAGAGAGAGAGAGAGAGAGAGAGAGAGAGAGAAACCCCTCTCACTCTGGGAAGGAAATTTCTGACATTTATTGCCTGTCTTAAACACTTGGCTTTCAGTGGCAGAATTTGCATGGGGCTTCCTGGGATGGTAGATTTGAGGAAAATATAGGGAAGGGGTAAAGCTGGAGCTGGAGAGCTCCAGGGCAGGAAGCCCGTGGTAGAGACCCTTCCTCTCCCTTCCCCCCACCCAGGCCAGATCAAGGTAGAAGGAGAAAAGAAAGGCTGAAAATTCCAGGTCTCCCTCTCCATACCTGCACTCCATTCCCCAGAAAAATGGGGCAAGGAATCATAGGATTTTGAGTTGGAAGGGACCTTATAGGTCATCTCACCTAGGGGTCTTCTTCTTTTTGTGTGTTTTGGACCCCTTGAGTAGTTTGGTGAAACCTTTTCACACCAGGAATCCCCTACTGTAGTCAGTCGAATATCCTTACTGTCCTGCTCATGTGGCCTGCTTGCTTGTGCTTTTAAAGCCAAGGTAGGCCTCTGTCTCTAGGCAGGAAGAGGAGCACATTTGGCCATTGGGGTTCTCTTGTCAAGACTGATTCTTTGGTAGTTAGACCTTCTACCTCTGACAGAACAGCATTTTAAGGTCTTGGCTGAACCTACTTCTGGAGGCAGCTTCTCTTGGGAGGTTAGAAATCACCTGAGTTTAGAAGTCATAATAATTTACTTTTTTTTTTTGGCTTTATGATCACAAAGAGAAGCAATTTGGAAGAGTTCATAGAGAGTTGGTCTGAGTGCCAGGAAGACCTGGATTCAAGTCCTGCTTTTGACACATCCTGCTTGTTTGATACTGGACGTGTCAGTGTCCCAGGGAACTAAGACTACTGATTTGAGAGAAGGTGCTGATCTGTACTGGAAAAGGGAGTTTCCTCACCTTGGAGTTCCCAATACTCAAGTCTATATCTCCTGTGATTATAAAGTAATTTATAATTACTTAATCTCACTTGCAACTTGAGAAATATGCTTGTGAGGTAGATCATGTCCAGATTTTATAAATTAGTCTTCCCAGTGGTGCTAGGGAGAGAGCCCTGGATGAAGATCTGGGTTTGACTCTTGACTCTACTATTTACTAGCTACATGACCTCAGCTCATCATCATAGAAAGAGTACTGGTTTTGGAGTCAAACAATCTGGGTTCAAATTCTGTCTCTGCTGCTTACTACCTGTGTGACCTAGGGCAAGTCATCTCCTCTCTCTGAGCCTCGGTTTCCTATTCTGTAAAATGAAGAGTTGGACTAGAGAGTTTCTGAGGCTTTTTCCAGTTCCAAATCTATGCACCCATGGTCCTAATTGTTTTACCTCCGGCTAGTCATTTCCTCTTCTCTGACTCAGTTCCCTTGCCTACAAAAAAAAAGTGGTGGGGGAAGGGATTTGACTTGATGGCCTCTGAGAGCCCTTCCAACTCTAAATCAGTTAATTTGTTTATCAGGGGTGGAGGGGCACTGCCTGCCTTATAGGATTTTTTGTGAAAATCACATAGATGTAAAGTAGTAGTCCTCAGTGGTCGAGAGAACTGGAGATCCCCAAGACCCTTTCAGAAGGTCTGCAAAGTCAAAACAAGGTTATGGGAGAAATATCTTCTTTTTGAGTTTATGAGGGAGGTAACTACTGCTGAAATATGTGAGTAGATCACAGTGCAGAAATTACAGAGGTAAGAAAAATCTAGTTTTATTATTATGCTTAAACATAGGTTCAGTTCTCAGACAAAAAAAATTCAAACAATCATTAGGATTCTAACAAGATGAAATTATGTCAGAGTGACAAAAATAATTATTTTACATGTTGCAATCTCTTAGGTCATAAAAGTTAAAGAAAATCTCATGCTTTCTTCAAAGTCATAAAAGTTGAATAAACAGTCATAATTTCACAATCTCATACATAAACCTAGTTAAACAACTTTATAGGTAAACTAAGTCAGGTTACAAATTAAACTACATTTAGGGGGTTCACAAATAGGCTGATTGAGGAGGGAGATATTTATATGTTGCCAAGGAGTCAGGGATAGTTGAGATTCTTCCTCTGGCTTCTTATTTAAGGAACATTTAAGGCTTCAAGTAAATATTCGCATCCTATGGGATACATTTTGGTCAGGTGAGGTTAATATTAACAGAAGATGGGCTTTTAGCTAACCAAAAGTTACAGGAGGAATGGTCGTGAGCCCTGAATAATAAAAATAAAAAGAAAATAGAAAATTCTTTACAATAATGCTAAGACATGTTAATTTCTAATATGGTAAACATCCACAGACATAGCCCACATAAACCAAAGTTCTTTAGGGAGTTAGCAGTAATTTTTTAGTGTAAAAGGGTCCTGAGACCAAAACGTTTGACAAAATTCTAAAAAGGGTAAGATGCTGTATTCTTATGAAATCAATGAATTTCAGAGCTGAAAAGGACCTCAGAGGCCACTGAACAATGACATCCCCTTCCACATCTTCAGAAAGCATTCTTTTTCCCTTTGCTTAAAGACCTCCAAGGAGCAGGAAACCAACCCTTCCCAAGGCTGATCAGGGTAGCCTCAAATTGTCAGGAAGGATTTCCTGACATCAAAATGAAACCTGCCTTTTTATACCTTCCCACCTTTGCTTCTACTTTTGTCCTCCCTCTGGAGCCAAGAAGAACAAGTTTAATACCCCTTCTACTTGACAGCCCTTCAAATATTTCACAATAGCTATTGTGTTCCCCCTACATCTTTTTTTCCTGGCTAAACCTCACTGATCCTCAACTGACTTGGTTTCAAGTGTCACCATTCTGTTTTCCCTCCTTTCCACATATGCTCCAGGTTGCTAGAATCCTTCTTAAAATAGAGCATCTAGCAGTCTATATGGGGTCTGACCAAGACAGAGTCCAATAGGACTAGCATTTCTGGTGTTCTAGACATTATGTTTTTCTAAACTCATCCTAGGGTAGCTGCAGTTTTCTGCCTGCCATCTCACACTGTCATCTCATATTGAGCATTCAGACCCCTAAAACTCCCAGGAGTTAAGTGGAGGTGATTTTTGAACCCAAATGTCAAACTTTACATTTATTCCAATTACATTTTATCTTATTAGATTTGATCCATTTTTCTAGTTCGAGGATCAGCAAAATATTGCCTATAGACCAAATCTAGCCCACCTCAAGGGCCAAATTTGGTTTGCCTGTTTTCTTACCACTTAGCAGGCTAAAAATATATTTTTCTATTTTTTAAAATGAAGTTTTCTTGTATCTAAAAATGTAATAAAAACATTAGATCATAAATCATACAAAAACAGGCAGTGGGCTTAATATGGTTCTTTGGATGGGCTACCTTTGGCCCTCAGGCCATAGTTTACTGACCCCTATTCTAGTCTATTGAGATTTTTTGGGATCCTGACTGTTGTCAAACAGTCTATCTGTCCCTTCCAGCTTCATCTGCATATTTGCTAAGCACTCCAAGTGTGTCTTCATCCAAGGCACTGACGAAAATGACGAACAGGGTTGACCCATGTAAACACAGATCCCTGGGTCATCCCTCTAGAGATATCCCTTTAAGTTAACATCAATCTATTCACGATTACTTTCTGAGTCCTGACATTCAATCAGTTCCTAATTGACAGGTCTTGGCAACAGATTGAATATGGAGTATTCAGAATTATTCAATTAATTTATTCAATAATAATTTAATAATTTACTAAAAAAATCATGAAGACTCGTGAGCCTGAGGAAGTGGGAGGATGGTGTTACCCTCTATAGTAATAGGGAGGGTGGGAGGTAGGAAGTGTTTAGGTGGAAAGATAATGCTTTCCATTTTGGACATGTTGAGTTTAAGATGTCTTCTGGACATTCAGGGCAAGGTGTCTGAAAGGCAGTTGGAGATGTGAGATTGGAGGTCAGCAGAGAGATTGTGGCAGAATAGGAAGATTTGAGAATCATCAGCACAGAGATGGTAATTAAATCCATGGGAACTGATGAGATCACCAAGTGAGGTATTACAGAGGGAGAAGAGAAAAGGGCCTAGGACAGAGCCCTGTGAGGCATCTATGATCAGAGGGTATTGTCTGGAAGAGGATCCAGGAAAGGAATGGTCAAGTGGGTAGGAGGAGAACCAAGACAGCGTAGTGTCCTGAAGACTAGAAATGACCTCTGATGTCTCTTCTACCTCTAAATCAATGTTCCTTTTTTACAGCTAAGGAAACTTAAGACTTAGGGAGATCAAATGACTTGTCCAGGGTCCCATGGCCAAAGACAGATTCAGGCTGGGGAACTTAGGTCTCTTTTCTCCAAACCCACCCCTACTATGCTGTCTGCAAAGACCTAGATTGAGCAACTGTGTTCTCTCCTCTAGATCTGGTGCCTCAGAAGCCATGTCCCCAAGGGCTTGAAGACTGCAGAGAGAAGTGTGATCCAGACTATTACTTGGAAATTGAGGAGGAATCCCGCTGCCAGGCCTGTGTTAACTGCACTAGAGGTACTGTCCTTGCTGCTAGCCGCGAGTTTGTCTCTTCCCTACTCAGTCCTTCCTTACCTATAAAGAGACTGGGCATACGTGAGTGTGTGTGTATGAATATGTGCATGAGTGAATGTTTGTGAGTGTGTGTGTGTGTGTGTGTGTGTGTGTGTGTGTGTACCCATGAGGCCACATAAGGAAGGGAATACAGATGACCAAGGGAGAGAATTCTCTAGCACTTGCTGGTTGGGAGCTACCTGGTCAGTTTCCCCAAGCCAGCCCTTACATCCTTATCATTATAGTCCAGAAAGAGCCTAGTCTTTTTTTTTAATGTTTTATTGATATTTTTTTTTGCTTTAAAAAAAAACCCACTGTGACTTTTCAATAACCCATAATGCCCAGAGTGTCCTTTCATCAATACAGACAGCAAATCAGACTAACAAAGCAGCTGCCACTGATGACTTGGGCAAACTTCTGTATCTGTAGTCCGTCTTCCTCCACTTCCCCACCTCCTGACTGAGAGCAGGGAAGTGTATTTCATCAGTAATCATTTGGAACCAAGATTAGACATTGTGTCGAATATGAATTCAGACATGCTCTTTTCATTTACACTATTACATAGTAAGTTAGGTGATAGAGGGGAGAGAGAGATGAGCCTGGAGTCAGGAAGACCTGAGCTCAAATCCAGCCTCAGTCACTAGCTGTGTGACCCCAGGCAAGTCATTTAATCTCTGTTGGCCTCAGTTTTGTCAACTGCAAAACAGAATAATAACAGCACCCACCTCTCAGGGTTGTTGTAAAGATCAAATAAGATAGAATGCTTAGCACGGTGCCTGCAATGTAGTAGGTGTTATATTATTGTTTATTCCCTTCCCCTCCTCTTTGTAGTTTCTGTATGTACATTATTTTCCCAGTTCTGCTTTCTTCATTAGCATTAATTAGGCATCCAGTCATGTTTCTCCTAAGGTCCTCCTCTGGTACTGCATTGTGGCATGAACACGATCCTGGGATCACAAAGCCCATGCCACAAGGGAAAAAAACAACACTGGAAAGGCACGGTGTCTTGCATACACTGTTTTTGAGTCATTTCAGTCATGTCTGACTCTTCATGACCCCATTTAGGGTTTTCTTGGCAGAGATACTGAAGTGGTTTGCCATTTCCTTCTCCATCTCATTTTACAAATGAGGAAACTGAGGCAAACAGGGTTGAGTGACTTGCCAGGATCACACAGCTAGTAAGTGTCTGAAGCCAGATTTGAACTCAGAAAGATGAGTCTTCCTGGCTCCAGGACTGGCACTCTAGCCACTATGCCAGCTAGCTGCTCGTGCCTTGTAGGTGTTGTATGTAGTAGGTGTTGAAAAAATATTTGTTGAGTGAATGAATGAATCTGGATGAAGAGGCTTTGAGTATGGACCCAGCAGAAGTACAGAATCTCAGGAAGGGATCTCAGAGACCAGCTCCCTGAAGGAGAAACCTCTTTTCTACGTTCCCAATAAGTGATCAACCAGTCTCTGCCCAAAGCCTTTCCAGTCTGAGGTGGCCCCAGAAGTGCCCTAAAGAGAAAACCCATGTCCCCTTGGCATAACTCTAATTGTGGGGAATTTTTTCTCTACGTCAAGCCTAAATGTGTTATCACTGCCACTTGTAGTCCCTGATCCTGGTTTTCCTCTGTGAGGCCAAGCCACATACATCTAATCCCTCTTCCAATGGACAGCCCTTAAGACACTAAATAATCAAAGCTGTCATTTAAAGAGACCTTTAAGATTTTTGGCCAAGCACTTTACATGTGTTACCTCATTCAGTACCTTTGAGTAATATAATTAGTTCCCCCCACCCCCATCCCACCCAAGACTTATCTCTACCAAGTTAAACATCCCCAGTCCTTTGCCACCCTGGCTACTTCCCACTGGACACTATTCAGTGGACCCGTGTCCTTTCTAAAATATGGCACCTGGAACTGAACCCAGTGCTCTAGGTGAGGTCTGACCCCATGGGCAGAGATATTCTCACTTTCCAACTACAGGATGCTTTTCCTCTCTGAATACATCTGAAGAGTACTTCCTCTTTTTCAGCCTCCGTATCACTCTCCTGACTCATACTGAGTTTTGTTCTGTGATCCTATCTGTACAATGGACTGCATGGCTGTCAGTGGAGGACCAGCCCAGATAAACCCAGAGAGGCTCATTGTCTGAAGTCTAGCCACCAGGTGGTGGTTTCTGTTTTCTTTTCGGGAGGGGGTTGCATGGTAGCTCATAAGGATAACTGACTACTAAAAAAGTGGAGGAGCTGTGATTTGTGAATCAGGGGAAGTAATAGTAGCACCCATGCGGATGAAATTATGGGTCTTTGGAAATATCGAAGAAATATTTGTTATAATAGCAACAATAACCTCTTAGATTGGTATATTTCAGAACACATTCAATTCATCCATCTGTCCATCCATCCATCTGTTCATCTAAATTCATTTAACAAACCTGCCAGTGGTCTACTATGTGCAAGGCTCTATGTCTGACAGCTTCTTGGGAAGATATGTATTTGAATAAAACATCTTCCCTACCCTCAAAGAGGTTATAGTCTAATAGGAAATCAGATATGAGAGCCCAATCATTATAGCACAAGGCAAAATAGGATGAGTTCACATGGGAAGTACAGAGTGCTTGTAAGATCTTACAAAGGGAGAAGTCCACCCCCTGCTCAGGGGGGAGAGGGAAGGAATCAGAGGAGGTTTCATAGAGGAAGTAACATTTGAATTGGACATGAAGCATGGGTACGATTTTGCGTGCCGTGGTGTATCAGGAGAACTTTTTAGATGGAGGAAGCTTTGTGAGCAAATGTGCAGAGGTCGGAAAGTAAGGAATATGTCAAGTGATTCCATATTTGGTTGATGGTGTGATGTGGCAATTGTTTTCAACTTAGCTTTTTAGGTAATGTGATCTTAGGCTGCATTAAGAGAGAAATAGTATCCAGGACAAGGAAAACTATGGCGCTACAAGTGGCATTGCTTGACTGGGGCATTAACTTTGTGAAGGGGATTAGGGAATATTATTATTCATTATTATTAACATAATTAATGAATATAAGTTAATACATTATACAATAACCAAATATTAGTTAATAATAATATTAATATACATGATGTTGATTATTATTATCAATAAATTATTGGGAAATAAGGCTGGAGAGATAGAATGGAGGACCTTTCAAATAGGCTGGAGAATTAAGATTTTTATCTAGTAGGTAGTTGGGAGCCATCAAGAATGTTTGAGGAGTGTCAGGATCAGACTTCGCCTTAAGAAGATGATTTGGACATCAGGCAAGGGATGGGCCAGATTGGGGAGAGACTAGAAGAATGGGATCAGTTAGGAAGTTATTCAAGTAGGCCTACTAAGAGGCACTGAGGATTTCAACTGGGCTGGTGACAGTGGGATCAGGGAGAAGGGGACAGAGGGGAGAGATTTTGTGGAAGTAGAATGGATAAGACTTGGCAACTGTGTGGGTGTGAAGGACAAGGGAGAGGGAGGAGTTGTGATAGCCCCCAAAGTTTTGGGAGAGTAGTAGAATGTTAAAGGAAATAGGAACTCAGCAGGAAGAGCGGGCTTGCAGGGCACAGTGTGGGCCTCAGTGGAAGTACATGAACTTGTCTTTGAACGAACAAAATAATGTGTGTGAGAGCACCTTGGAAAGGATAAGATAATTTATAGGGTCATAAATTTAGAACTGGAAGGGACCTTAGCGCCCATGTAGTTCAAGCCTCTTACTTTACAGGAGAGAAAACTGAAGACCAAAGAAGGAGAAGTATCTTGCTTGGGGCCATACAGACAGTGTCAGAATCAGGATTTGGACCAAGGTCTTCCTAATTCCAAGTATAGCTTTCTATCAACTATGCCACACAGCTTATAGAGAAAATGGCTCTCACTTGTCAGACTCTCCTCCAAACTAAGCCAATCCGGTCCAATCCAATCCAATCCAACAAGCATTGATTCAATGCCTACCAGGTGCCAGGCACTGTGTGAAGATCTGGATATACAAAAATAAAATGAAAAACCATGCTTACCCACATGGAGCTTATATTCCACTGAAACTGCCCCTCTGAAAAATACAAGCCGTCCTCAGGCCACCGGCTAATGCCCCCTGGGGTTTCCCCCACTCTTATAGTCCTTTTGTATCCATCCCGAAACTCTGTTATGTCTCCAGACTTCTGCTGACCCTCTCCCTTCAAGCTCTATCAGATTGTGTTGAATGGTTTCTTCTTTCTAGATGACCTTGTGGAGAAGATTCCTTGTACGTGGAACTCCCCTCGGGTTTGTGAATGCCAGGAAGGCATGTTCTGTGCCACGTCAGCCAGCTACAGCTGTGCCCGTTGTGTGAAGCACTCCCTGTGCCCACCAGGGACCATAGTCAAAGAGCAAGGTAGGGAATCTTCACCTCTCTCTTTCTCTGTAGCCTTCCTATTGCTCCCCACCCAGAGCCTCAAGATCCCCCCAGTCCCCTTGGAGTGAATGACTTCTGGCTCCCAAGTCTGCTTGGTCAGTTACTTGGGTCTTTTTGCACACTTGGGTTGGATGAGATAGAATAGACACTCCTTCAAAACAAGGTTAGAAGGGTGGGACATCTGGTCTTTTTTCTTTAAGAATGTTGGGTTGGTAATTATGATACTTGCTGAGAATCACAGATTTAGAGCTGAAAGCAGTCTCCTGGGTCATCTAGTCCAACCTCTCATTTTACAGATGAGGAAACTGAGGCCCAGAAAGTTAAGGTACTTGCCCAAGATCACACAATTTAAAATGTGACAAAACAAACATTTGAACCCAGGTCTTTTTTTTTTGAAGGAGGAGGAGGCAGGTAAAGAAATAATTGTGATTCTATCTATGTAGAGAAAATCCATTGAGGAAACATCATTCATCAGTGTAGATTGGCAACTCTTTTGCAACTTGTACGTAGCCTTAGAGAGCTCCCTACATCACTGAGACTTTTTGTGATTTGCCCAGGGCCACACAGACAGAGCTTGAATTCAGTTCTTCCTGATTTCTGGACTAGTTCTCTAACCAATACACCATACTTTCCTCTTCAATCAATCAATCCATTGATCAACAAGCATATATTACCCATGCACTGTCTCTCTTGTGAGAATGTCAGATCCCTGATGGCAAGAACAGGTTCACTTTTGTCTCTATACCCAGAACTGAGCACCATCATTGCCCTCAAGAGTCTTACACTCTAACAAGAGAGACAATATGTACAGTATATTTGGAGATATGATAATAATACAGATATATTATGATAATATAGACATAATATATGTATAATACATTTCCATACCTCTTTAAGGTCTGCAGAGTGTTACATACATTATCTCACTTGATCCTCACCACTCTATGAGAAAGGGACTATTATTACCCCGATTTTATAGGGAAACTGAGGCTGAGGCAGGTTAGGCTTGGACAAGGTGAACTTCTAAAGCCTTTTAGACCTCCAAGCCCTAAATCTGTGAATCTCTGGAAATGTAAACTGCTTTTCAATGAGAAATTGAGGAAAGAGTAAGTAGGGAGATAAGAAGGGGGATCAGGGAAGGCTGCCTGGAGGAGGCAGTACCTCAGCTGAGCCTTGAGGAGAGGAAGTACCTCCCCTAGTCCTTTAGATTTCAGAGAGATTACTATATATAATATATAGTTACCATATGTAATATATTACTATATTATTAGTATAATTGGGGGAAGAAGTACAGTGCAGGAATTGTTAGAACAGACCTTGGGATGATGCTAGAGGGCCCAGTAAAACGAAAGTTTCTTGAGGATAGGGACTGTTTTTGTTTTTGTCTGTTTCTCCAATGCCTAAGACAGTGCCTGACACATAGCAGATGCTTAAATGTTCATTGAATGAAAAATGGACCACAAATGTGAAGGTTAGGTACTCCCAAAGCCTAGGAAACACATGGGAAATGTTAAGACAATCATACTAAAATGCAGTTTGTGTTAGTTTCCTGACTGGCGATAGACAAAAAGAAGATATCTTGGCCAAAGGAATGGGCACCAGGCTTGGGGGAATGAGGCTCTAGTTTTCTTCCTCAATTTGTTGAATGAATCTTTGATAGAGTCCTTCCATTCTTAGGGATGAGGTGAAGAGATGTCCCTTAGACAATGGCACAGAGCTGCATGAATGATGATGTTACATGGGAAGGAGTCTCTAGAACACAACCCCAAAGAGCTGAGAGTGAGCTCTGCTCTTTAACATTTTCATTCACATTAAGCACAGAGTTGTGGAGAAAGCCCTGGCCTAAGTGTTAGAAAACCTGGGTCCATGTCCCATCTCTGACCCATACCCAGGGCAAGTTGCTTAACCACTCAGTGCCCCAGGTAACGAAGACTAGACATCTTAGACCAGAACTGTCGGCAATATGCATCAGTCGAGAGTTTCCTTTACTGATGGGGTCACAAATCTAGATCCCCTTTGACCCCACCAAAAATGACTTCGATATAAAGGCCTAGATAGTATGCTTATCAGATTTGTAGATGACACAGATCTGGATGAGACAATGAACATTTAACACACTGGATGACAGATCCAAAATCCATCCTGACAGGCTAAAACTTCAGACCCAACTAATAAAATGAAATTTAATAGGCATAAATGCAAAGTCCAATATGTGGGTTGAAAAAATAAATTCCTAAGTATAAGATCCAGCTGAGGCTTAGCTGGACAACTAATGGTATTAAACACATGTGGAGTTTTCTTTGGTTGTAAGCTCCATATGGGTCTGCAGAGTGATATGCCAGCTGAAAATGTTAATGCAGTCAGTCATATGGTGCCTTAAGAGAAGAATCTAAGCAACTTTGTAGTCCTGCTATTCTCTGCTGTGGTCAGACATCAGGAACATTGTGTTCTCTTGGGGATGTCATATTTTAAGAAGGACATTAATAAGCTCTAGAAGATTCAGAGCAGAACAACCAGAATGGTAAATGGTCTTGAGTTCAACCATATAAGAACTGGTTGAAAGAATTAAAAATATCCAACCTGGAAAAGACTCAGGGCAGGATGTCTAAGGGGAAAAGGGGTGGATGGGGCATGATAGTTAACTTCATGTTCATAAAAAGCTTCATATGAAGGAAAGATCAGACTTGTTCTGTTCAGCTCCCAGAGGGCAGAATCAGGATCCTCAACGAGCATATTTAGGCTAGATATAAGGAAAGAACTTCCGAACAATGGGAGCTGTCCCAAAGCAGAATGGCTTTAGGAGGCAGTGAGTTTCAGCTCTTTGGAAGTCTTCAAACTAAGGCTGGAAGGTCCCTCATGGAGGACTGTATAGAGGACATTTTTAATCAGGTGAGATTACAAGGGCTAAGAGTCACCTTCAGAATCTGAAATTCTGATTGGTGCTAGGTGATCAGTGCAAATCACTGGCCTAGCTCGGGCTTTCCTTTTCTGAGGAAGGAAAATGGGGGTGGGGTCTTTCATGAGTGAAAGTACCATCAGGTCAGTACACTGACTTTTTCTGTGGCACTTCTTCTTTCTTCCCACCCCCCACCAATAACATCTGGAAAGCCCTTCAGAATTTCCCAGAAGGAAGGGGCAACCAAATGAGCTTTATCTGGCATCTGAAGAATGGGTTGAGAAACCAGAAATAGGCAAAGTGACAGGGTGATGGAGAAGCCTTGTTTCAGCCCTAAGCTCTTTGGGAGCAGGGAGCCTTATCTTATTCATCATCTTTATTTCTTTCCTGACACACATTGGAGTGCAGCATAGGAAGTCACATGACTCTTAGAACCTGAAGGAGCTAGAGTGCCCATCATGTTCAATCCCATTGGTTCTGGAGGCAGGAAACCTGTTCAAATCTTACTGTTAGAAGGACCTTCAGGAAGTCACAATCTCCCTGGGCCTCAATTTTCTCAGCTGTAAAATGAAGTGGCTGGACCAGATGGTCTCTGAGGTCCCTTTCAGCTCAAGATCAATGATCCCATGCTTCTATGACTCATCTACATATGGGGAAACGGAGGCCCAGAGAGCCGAAGTAGCACGTTTTAGGTAGGACGTTAAAGTTTGCCAAGTGTTTTATGCACGTTGTCTCATTAGAACCTTGTAGCAGGTATTATGTTTTGCAAATGAGATAAATGAGGCTCAGAGAGTTACCCTCAGTAACTGTCCGTGTCAGGGACTTGCCCATAGTTACTCAGCTCATAAAGTGTGACCTTAGATAAATCACTTTACCTTTGGGCCCTTTTTTCCTCTGTAAAATTGGGTGGGGAGGGGAAAGTACTAGATCCCTCTGAGCTCCCTTTTAGCTACAGACCTGTGATCCTATGAGAGACGCCAAGCTACACATAGGTATGCCCTTTTTGATCCTCATTAGTCTTAATTCTTTATCCCTAAAATCTGGAGGTTAGACCACCAGCTTTGAGGCCACAATCCTTTATAAAAGGATTTGTTCTGTAAAACTTAGACCCAGTCAAAAGGCCACACCTAAGGACCTAGAAGGCCCCATGTGGCCTCGAGTCTACAAGTTCCCAACCTCTGTTAGGGAGTTCAAGGATGAGGAGGCCAAAATGCTGAGGGAAACTCCAAGGTGACACATGGCATGATTTTGAAGTCCAGGAAGAAGGACAGGAGAAATTCAGATTTTACATATGTGATTTCATCTGATCCTTGCAACAGTTTTATGAGGTATAGGTGTCCAAAATAAATTCAGCATTAACAATGTGATAAAAATTCTCTGGAGGTCTATTGATTAGGTGCTGCTGACAGTCAGGAATCAACACACAGAGATAGTTATCCATAGATTTTATCTATGCATGGAGTGCAGGCTTATCTGTGTGAAAAATCAGAGAGCCCAAAGCATCAACGTTAGCAACCTTCTATAGAATGTGAATACATAAGCAGTGTGTAAAAGCAGAATTTTATACAAAGTAAGAGGGAAAGATAAGGGCATATGTGTCTACAAACAAGTGACAAAGCGGGGAGCTACAGACTTCTGAAAGCTGGTCAGAATAGGAGTTGTGGCTTCTTTCCCAGCCTTGATTTCGCAGATATTGTGCCCTTCTTGGCTTCCAGGAAGCTCAAAGTAGAGATTGGGTCAATGTTACCTTCTTATCACAGTGACAAGAAGCCTGAGTCTTTCCCATCATCATCTTTCTCTTACCACAGTGACAGCAGGAGGTCTGAGTCAGAATCTATCTTGCCATGATAGATTTCAAGCTGGAAGAGACATCCTAGGTAATCTAGTTTAACACCTTCATTTTACAGAAGTCCAGGGACGGACCCAGAGTCTTGTCCCTATTTTCATGGAGCTCACCATCTATCAATCACCTCTTAACACAAAGGCAGCTGCTGGGTATATGCTGGGAAAGAGTACTGAATATGGAATCAAAGGACCTGGGTTCAAATCTCCGTCCTCTCACTTGCTACCTGTATGCCCTTAATTAGGCAAGTCGATCTCCTTCTTGGACCTCAGTTTCCATATCTGCAAAATGAGGGGTGGTTAGACTAGGTGACCTCTAACATCCTTTCCATCTCTATATCTACAACCGAACAAAGACCTTTCTGGATCTTAGATCTAATTCTATGATTTGATAATATATGTTACAAGATTCACATTCAAAAGAAAGTACTATGCAAAGTCTGAGAGACAAGGTCATGATCGATCCAGTGACGACCTCACTGACCAGTTTTGTCATCTACAAGGTGAAGGGATTAGATTAAATGACTATGAGGTTCCTTCTAGCTCTGCACCCTAAATGATCCCTCAAATCAGTCCCTCCTGGGTTGAGTTAATTGTGCTTCAGCCTGATTGGTTGTACTGTCCTGGGAGGCCACAAGATGGCGCCAAAACCCATTCACTGATCTTTTGTTCTCATATCCACTTCTTTAAGATCATAAAATGAAAATTATAAGGGATTTTAGAGAGTAACTAATTCAGTACCCTTGTTTTGGAGCTAAGAACACTAGGAGTGAAAGAAGATTTGCCCAAGATAGTTGAGTGGCAATCAAACAGACCACAAGCGTGCCAGGCACGATGCTGCAAGTACAAAGACAAAAAAGCAAAACAGCCCCTGCCTTCAGGGAGCTTACATTCTAATGGAGGTAGGCAAGCTGCACAAGAAGATATACAAGACTTGAACCCAGATTTTCTGACTAAATCTAGCATTCTTTCTGCTAGGTCTGTTGTCTACCTTAAAGGTAGCCATGTTCCAATTAGGGAGACTTTCTCAAGAGGGCAAGTTCTCTTGTAAATAAGTATCAGGTATTGTGCTAAGTGCAAGAGATACAAAGAAAGGTAAAAGACAACCCATCCCTCAAGGAGTTAACAGTCTTATGGGGGAGACAATAAGCAAAGAACTACGTACAAGCAAGCTATAGGGAAGAATTGATGACAATCACATGACTAAGAAGGACTGGGAAATACTTCTCACCAAAGGTGGGAGGAAGTGGAGACAAGGAGGGAGAGAATTCCAGGCGTGAGGACAATGGAAATGCCCAGAGTCAAGAGGAGGGTCTTGTATGAGGAAATGTGAGGAGGCCAGTGTTACTGGATCGTAGAGTATGTGCCAGGGAGGAAGGTGTAAGACTGGAAAGATGCGGGAAGAGGAAGGTTAGGAAGGCTTTAAAAGCCAGACAGACGACTTAAAGAAATTGATCCTGGAGGCAATAGGGAGCCACTGGAATTTATTGAATAGGGGAGTGATGAGCTCAGACTTGTGCCCTTGATAACTAGATGGAGGTTGGGCTGGAGTGGGGAGAAACTTGAGGCAACAGACCCAGTGGCAGGTTAGTGCGATAGTCACCAAATCAACACACAGAGATAGTTATCTGTAGATGCTATTTATGCATGGAATTCGGCTCATCTGTGTGAAAAATCCAAGCGCCCAAAGCATCAATGTGAGCACCCTTATATAGAATGTGAATACATAAGCATGTTAAAGTGGAGGGAAAGATAAGGGTATACGTGTCTACAAACAAGTAACAGAAGGGGGAGGAGATGTGAGGAGATGGGAGTCTACACCAGGGCGGTGGCAGTATCAGAGGAGAGAAGGGAGAGTGGATCTGAGAATCATCTGTATAGACGTGATGATTGAATCCCAGGCAGCTGAAGAGATAGAGCAGAGGGAGAAAAGGCCCCAGGGGCAGCTAGGTGGTGCAGTGGATAGACCTCTGGCCCTGGAGTCAAGAGGACCCGAGTTCAAATCCAGCCTCAGCTGCTTGACACTAGCTGTGTGATCCTAAGTAAGCCACTTTACCCCAATAGCCTTGCTGAAGAAGAAGCTACAGTGCAGAGCCATGGGGGATACCCCTGATTATTAGGGCTGGCCTGGATGAAGCTTTCATAGTAACAACTGACATTTCTGCAGTGTTTGAAGGTTTGAATATGCTTTGCAAAGAGTGTCTGACTTGAGCCTCATAACAGCACTGGGTGTATTTATATGGATAAGGGAAAATCAAGGCCCGGGAGTTAAGACCTCCCCTTGCTCATGCTGCTGGTAAGTGTCCAAGGATAAACCTGCTACCTCTGGACTCGAAGTCCATACCAGGGGCAGCTAGGTGGCACAGTGGATAGAGCACTGGCCCTGGAGCCAAGAGGACCTGAGTTCAAATCTGACCCCAGACATGTGACACTTACTATCTGTGTGATTCTGAGCAAGTCACTTACCGCCAATTGCCTCACCAAAAAAATAAATAAAAATTAAAAAATGAAGTACATACCAGGCTGTCTCAGGGAGTTGAGAGTTTTCTAACCCATCTATCTAATCCCCCTAGATAACTTCCAGGAAGGCTTTTCCCTGTCCTCCAAGCTGCTGGCCATCCATCTAATTAAATGAGATCATATTGGTAAAGCGCTTATCCCAGTGCCTGGCTTATAGTAGGCACATAATAAATGCTGATTCCTTCCCTTCCCTGATGGAGATAGAATAAGGTAGTAGAAGCTGGTGGCTCTGAAGTAGGGAACTTGGGTTCAAATCTTCCTTTCAATGCTTACTACCTCTGTGACCTTGGTCAAGTTGCTTGACCTCCCCCAGGCCTCAGTTTCCTCATCTGCAAAATGAGAGGGTTAAACAAGATAGCCTCCGATGGCCTTTCCACCTTTCGATCTGTGAGCCCTCCTTTGATAAGTAGTGGTCAAAGAGCCGTGGACTGGAAGCCAGGAGTCCTGGGTCCTAGTTTGAATTCCACCATTGACTTGTTGTTTAACCCTGGAAGACACTTCGGGGGTTTTTTTGTTTTGTTTTGTTTTTTGTTTTGTTTCTTTGAAAAGACACTTTTGCAGGCAGAGTGGTATGGTAGAAGGAAGAGAAGATTTGGAATCAGGACTTGCTCATCATGAGAAGAGCGGGGGCTGAACTAGATGGCCTCAGAGGTCCTTTCAGCTCTCAATGTAGGACGCTAGGATCTTGCTCGCCTACAATCTGCTTAAGCACTTACCATAGTGTCTGGAACATAGTAGGCACGTAATAAATGTTTATTGACTTAATGATGACTTAACAAAGACAAGGTGAAGTCAGTCAGTCAACAAACCTTTACTGATTGTTTATTGTGTGCCAGGCACTATGCTAACTGCTGAGAGGTCCAAAACAAAGTGGAAAAAAGCCCAAAGCCTGCCTTCAAGAGCTTACATTCTAATGGGAGAGTTGCCAATAAGCTGCCATTTTTGAGCATGTCCCCTCTCTTGCTTGTATCTTTGTTTCCTTATTGGGAGAACAAGGTACTAGGTGACCTTCCAATGTCTCTTCGACATTTGATATCCTGTGGTTCTGTGAAGGGCTTGAAAAGGAATTTGACTCATCTGACCCTCTGTGTGAAGCGGTTCATGGTTATCAATCTGTTCTCTGGGATGGAAATCTCTAGGTTAGACAATGTGTATTTTGGAGCACCTCTTCCTGAGCTCCCCAGCATCCAAAGAACAACTCCACCTCCTATTTATTTCTTTCTTTCTTTTTCTTTTCTTTTCTTTTTTTTTTTTTTGGCTAGGCAATGGGGTTAAGTGACTTACCCAAGGTCACACAGTGGGGCAGCTAGATGGTGCAATGGATACAGCACCAGCCCTGAGGTCAGGAGGACCTCAGTTCAAATCTGGCCTCAGGCTAAACACATGACACTTACTAGCTGTATGACCCTGGGCAAAGTCACTTAACCCCAATGGCCTTAAAAAAGGAAAAAAAAATGTTTCAAAGCCAAGGTCACACAGCTAGTAAGTGTTATGTTTCTGAGGCTGGAATTGAACTCAGGTCCTCCTGATCCAGGGCCTATGCTCTATCCACTGCACCACCCAGCTGCCCCTCCACCCCTCTTTCCAGAAACACTGGGACTGCTCAGGGTAATGCTGATGGGGGGGAGTTGCTTCCATCCACAGGCACCTTGGAGGAGGATACTGTTTGTGAGCCCTGCCTCCCTGGGACCTTTTCCAACCACAGCTCCAGTGCCCAGGATTGTCAGCCTCACACCAGGTAACCCCAGAGTTCCCCTGGGCAGTCTCAGAGTGAGCTGGGAAGGAGCTCTCTGAGGGCAGGGGGATGGACCACATGACCTCTCGGGGTCCCTTTCTGCTTGAAGAGCTGGGATCCTATGATTGAGTTAGAGATAAGGCAGAATAGAATCAGTTGTTAAATTGGATGGTATGGACACAGGAGTTCGGGGAAGAGAGTGATATAGGCTAGAATACATGCATTCAATAGGGAAGGCTTCCTGGAGGAGGTGGGTTTTGGAAGACTGAGTGGACAGAATTATTTTCCTGTCATCCCAAAGCCAATGGCACAGCTGTCCCAAATGCTGCCAGGTTCACCAGGAACTAGGGGCCTGGTACCTTCTTCTAGAGGCTAGAATATTGTCCTTCTGCCAGGAGAGATCTTCAAAATGGCTGAGGGCATGACCAATCCTTGGCCTTACCATTTGGCATACAGGGTGACCTCAAGAAGGGAGGCTTTTTTGGCTGGTTGGTCATAGCGGACCACAGAGGGTGGATGCCCTCTCCGGACTGGCACACCTGTCTCTAACCTATGTCATGTATTACTACTTGTATGACCTTGGACACATCACTGAACCTTTCTGGGCCTCATTTTCCTCACCTGTAAAATGAGGGGGTTGGACTTAATGGCCTTTGAAGTCTCTTTTACCTCTAGAGCTAGGAGCCTTGACTCTAGACTTGACTCGTTGGCTTCTTTCTTCATGGGAAAAGGCCGATGGGGCACAGTTTCCGCCTATATTGTCTCTGAGCACCAACCTTCTCTGCTTCTAGTAAACAGGTGCCTGGCTTCCCTTTTTCCTTGTCTGGGAACGAGGCAGTCTCTTATCTCTGCCTATCTGTATCAAGCTCATCAGACAGGTGGGGAACGCCACCCATGATCATGTCTGCTCTGACCTGGGTCCACCAGCCTTTGTCATCAACCTCTACACTATCTCCCCCACTGCCAGGATCTCTGATATTCCAGACCCTTCCAACACCACAGCTGACCCCTCCGACGGGAGTTCAACCCATGACATTGGGACTGTCTCACCATCTCTCACAGGAAGACCCAATCCAGGTAATTCCTTGCAAAGGTTTTGTTTCTGATGGAGTAGGCTAGGGCCAGTAGAGACCTCCCTACCCCAAAGGCAAAGGGATTCACCCCCAGGAAGTTCAGAGTTGGGGTGGGGAGAGATCATTCCTTGTTTACTAACATTTCCCAGGGAAACCTGAGGTTGAGAGGCAGTGTGGTACAATGGAGAGAGTACTAGTTCTGGGATAAGAGAACCTGAGCTCAAATCTCACTTCTGGTGCTTATGTGACTTGGGGCAAGTCCCATCTGTAAAATGGGGGAGTTGGATGGCTTCTTGAGCTATGATCCAACAACTTGATGGTCAGTAAGATGCTTTCCATCTAAATCTATGATCCTGTGATCTTGGACACTCTGACATGACCTCTTAGGAACCTCTAACAACCAGAGTTGGAGGAGATGGGGTGGTGCCTCTGCCTGGAGCTGCAATTGATCATGGGAGGCAGGGAGGTAGGTTTCATCAGACTTTGGGGATCAGTACATTCCTAACCCTGTCCCTCCTGCCCCTTCCTTCCTTCCTTCCTTCCTTCCTTCCTTCCTTCCTTCCTTCCTTCCCTTCCTTCCTTACCTCCCCTTCCTTCCCTCCTTCCTTCCTTCCCTCCTTCCTTCCTTCCTTCCCTCCTGCCTCTTCCTTCCTTCCCTCCTTCCTTCCTTCCTTCCTTCCTTCCTTCCTTCCTTCCTTCCTTCCTTCCTTCCTTCCTTCCTTCCTTCCTTTCTTCTATTCCTAACCCTATCCCTCCCTCCTTCTCTCCTTTCCTTCCTTCCTTCTTTCTTTAAAAAAAAATCTCTGTATCATATTCTTTTTTTATCACTTTGTATATTTCTAATCCTTCTCTACCTAGAGAGAAATCCCTTGTGACAAATGAAAAAGAAAGAGGGAAAGAAAACAGATCAGTAAACATGATGGACACATCGATCAATATGACCACATATTCAGTGTTCTACATCCATAGTTTCCCACCTCTGCAGAGAAGGAGGGGAGGTCCAGCCCTGTCTTTTCATGGGGCTTATGAATGGATACAGCATGGTATCACGGAAAAGGTCTAGCCTTGGAGTCTGATCTGTCATTGAATCCTGGTTCTAGCTGAACTTGGGAGTCATTGTACTTCTCTGGGCCTCAGTTTTCTTGTCTATAAAATGTGGGAGTTGGCCTAGATCAGAGCTTCTTAACTCGGGGGTCCATAGAGCTCCCTCCCAAAAGCATCTATGGATAGATTTCAGGGAGTCTGTAAAACTGGCCAGGAAAAAAATTAAATCCTTATTTCAATATGATTGGTTTCCTTGGGTAATTTTGTGAATTTATTTATTCATTTAAAAAATTATTCTGAGAAGCAATCCATGGGCTTTACCAGAGTGTAATACAACACAAAGATTAAGGAATCCTGGACTAGATGACCTCCATGGATTCCTGGCTCCCAAATCTGTGGTCCTCCAGGGATCCTAGCACAGGAAAATCCAGCATGGACAATGCACTGTTGGTGGACCTGTGAATGGGTACAAGCATTCTGGAAAGCAATCTGGAATTATACATAAAAAGTTACTAAACAGTGTACACCCTTTGATCAATGACCACTGTAAGGCCTATACTCAAAAAAAATTCAAAGAAAGACAAACAGATTCTATTTGTACAAAAATATTATAACAGCTCTTTTTGTGGCGGCTATAACAAATAAACAAACTGGAAAGTAAGGGGATGCCCATCAACTGAGGAGAGGATGAATAAAATGTAGTGTATGAATATGATAGAGTACTCTTGTATTGTAAGAAATGAGAAAATGAATGATTTCAAACGTACTTGAGAAGACTTATAGGAACTGGTGCAGGATGAAGCAAGCAGAACAACTTGTACTGTGTATAAATGTCATCAAAATGAACAGTTTTGAAGACTTTCATAAACTGATGAAGGATGAACTGAGCAGAACCAGGAAAACAATTTATACAACAGTATTATAAAGACAAACAGCTCTAAAGCTGTGAGAACTATGATCAATGCACTGAGCATCCACGAATCCAGAGGACTAATGATGGAATATGCTCTCTACCTTCTGCTAGAGAGGTGAAGGATTCAGGGTACAGAACAAGACATGTATTTTTTGAACATAACAAATGAGGAAATGTATTTTGTTAACTATACACATTTATTGCAAGGAATTTGTTTTTCTTTTCTCTTTTTTCAGTGGGGTGGGGGTTGGGAGGGAGAAAAAATTTTCTGTTCATCAAAAAAACCCACTAAAAATGGAAAGGTTGGAAGATCACAGGTGTGGAGTGTTGTACACACTTTCAAATTAGGTCAGTGGGTTGTTCGTTTGGTAGAGCTCTCACAAGATAAGGGCAATTTGGAAAAGTTTGAATATAAGAATAAAATATGTCAATACAACAAAAGAGAGAGAAAGGAAAAGGAAGGAGGGAGAGGGAAGAGAGAAGAGAAAAAGAAAGAAAGAGAGAGGTGGGGAGAGGGAGAGAGAGAAAAGAAAAAGAGGAGGGAGAGACACACAGAGAGAAGACAGAGAGGGGGAGAGGAGAGACAGAGAAAGACAGAGACACACAGACAGAGAGAGAGAAGAGAAGAGGGAAATAGAGATAGAGCAAGAAGAGAGAGGAGACAGAGGAGAGGAGAGACACATAGAGAGGAGAAAAACAGAGAGAGAGAGAGAGAGAGAGAGAGAGAGAGAGAGAGAGAGAGAGAGAGAGAGAGAGAGAGAGAGAAGATACAGAGAGAGAAAAGAGCAAGAGAGAAGGAAAAAGGCAGAAAGAGAAGAGAGAGAAGAGAGAAAGGAGAAGAAAGAAACAGAGAGAAGAGGAGAGAAGGGAGAAAAGAGACAGAGAGAGACACAGACAGACAGAGAAAGGGAGAGAGAGACAGAGACAGAGAGGAGAGACAAAGACAGAGAGAGAAGAGAGAGCAAGAGAGAAGAGGGGGAAAGACAGAGAAGAGAGAGAGAGGAGAGAAACAGAGAGAAGAGGAGAGAAGGGAGAAAAGAGACAGAGAAGAGAGAGCAAGAGAGAAGAGGGGAAAAGACAAAGAGAGGAGAGAGAAGAGAGAAAAGAGAAGAGAGAAACAGAGAGAGAAGAAGAGAGAAGGGAGAAAAGAGACAGACAGACAGAGAGAAAGAGAGAGAGACAGAGACAGAGAAGAGAGAGCAAGAGTTTAGAAAAGAGAAAAAGACAGAAAGGAGAGAGAAGAGAGGAGAGGAGAGAAACAGAGAGGAGAGAAGGGAGAAAAGAGACAGAGAGAGAAAGGGAGAGAGAGAGACAGAGAGAGAGGAGAAACAAAGACAGAGAGAGAAGAGAGAGCAAGAGAGAAGAGGGGAAAAGACAGAGAGGAGAGAGAGAGGGGAGAAAAGAGACAGAGAGAGAGACAGAGACAGAGATGGAGAAGAGAGAGACAGAGAAGAGAGAGCAAGAGAGGAGGGAAAAAGACAGAGAGGAGAGAGGAGAGAGAAAAGAGAGGAGAGAAACAGAGAGAGAAGAGGATAGAAGGGAGAAAAGAGACAGACAGACAGAGAGAAAGAGAGAGAGACAGAGACAGAGAAGAGAGAGCAAGAGTTTAGAAAAGAGAAAAAGACAGAAAGGAGAGGAGAGAAAGGAGAGGAGAGAAACAGAGAGAGAGGGGGAGGGAGAGGGTTGGCTTGACAAGGTCCGCCCTCTAGTGGTCGTGTCGGGAATTACTTCCCCAGCCTTCTCGGAAATTGGAATGGAGCCGGCGGCTGAGAGAAAGCCCTGCGGTGGTCTTGTGTTGCAGGTTCTGAGTCTCTTTTCTGGGTGGCGACGGTCTTTGCTGTGACGCTTGCCTTCGTTCTCTTCCTGATCTGCCAGCAGAAGGCCTGCAGGAAGGGGATTCTGCAGAGTGAGTTCATGTTCTGCCCCACGGAGCCATTTCTGGTGGGGAGTGGGCAGCAGGGACTGACTGGGATGGGCTGGAGATGCCGTACTGAGCGCGGATCCCAGCTTGGGACACCGGGTTTTCATAATGTGGTGATACGGAATGACCACTGGAGTTAGAGGCTACCAGGAGACCTCAGTTCTGTCCCGGGCTCTTCCTTTGCTGGATAGGTACCCCGGGGTCAAGGCACTTGACCTCTCCAGGACCTCATTTCCTCATCAGTAAAATGGGGGTGGCAGGAGTATTTGCTCTGCAGAGGCCCTGGCTTTAAATCCAACCTCTGATGCTTGCTAGCAGCTCTGTGACCTTGGCTGCGAACTGCCTGGGGTCTCAGCTTCTTCATCTGTAAAACAAGGGCAGACCAGATGGCCTTGTGAGGGCTCCTCCAGGTGCATGTGGAAGATCCTGTCATTCATTCCTGTTCACTGGCCGCCTCCTTCACGGACTTGTTGGAAGGAAAGCACTTTGTAACCCTAGAGCCCTTTAAGAAATGGGTATTGTTAATTATTGTTATTATTATTATTCCTTATCCCTGCTCCTGCCCCTAAGACCAGGACCTAGAGGGCCATATGTGGCCTCGAGGCTGAAGGTTCCCTACCCCTGTTCTAGAAGGACCAAAGAACTGGCCCCTGCAGGTTCCCTGTCTTCTCTTTCAGAGCTTCACCTCCATTCTGGCCAAGCCTTCCAACCCAAGGTCATGCCTACGGGTAAGTAGAGGAAGGAGGTATGTGGGCAGGTGGAGGGAGAGAGCATTGGCTGAATAGGAGGAGACCTTGAACATCATCCTTTAGGTGGATAGAGCTCCGGCCTTGGAGTCAGGAGGACCTGAGTTTAAATCTGGTCTCAGACACACAACACATGACACTTACTAGCTGTGTGACCCTGGGCAAGTCACTTAACCCCAATTGCGTAGCAAAAAAGAAAAAAAAAGAACAGAATCCTTCCTGTCTCTGAGACTCAACTGTCCCTGCTATAAAATAAAATAATGCAGCAAGGGGAGGAGGAAATGATTGACTGGTTGGAGCCCATGAACTCCTATGGTCCTGCCTTGCCTGGATGTCACATGTTCAGCTTTATTTAAAAAAAAAAAGGTTATTCTGCAACAACATGGCAAATGAGAGAGAAAAATAAAACTGCAGCAGAAATTCTAATTTCAATAAGAACTGAAGAAAGAAAGCAATTGTTTCAAGGAGATTCTCAGCCTGCCAACACCCTTCCTTGAGAATCATTTTTCTGGGGGTTAAATTTTTTTAAAACCCATCTCAGTATTTATTCTCTTTTTACACTTATCTCCATCACAGATAACTCTTGAATTCATTCATTTTCTTTCATTTGTTCATTTGCTCAACAAATTTTTATTAATTCAATTCATTTAAATTTGACAAGCATTTTTAAAAGTCCTATTATGTGCCAGGCACCGTGCTAGGTGCTGGGGATACAGAGACAAAACCACCGTCGTCCCAGCCCTCAACAAGCTTCTGTCCAATTTGGTTACTACTGCAGGTACCCAGACAGGGAAACAAACATTATATACAAGTAATTTCAAGACAGAAAGTTAGTAACTGGAGGGATCAGAAAAGATCTTTTCTAGGAGGTGGCATCTGAGCTATGCTTTGAAAAAAAAGAGATTCCTCCTTGAAGGGATCATGAGAATTAAAGATGAGGAGGGACTGGGCAAAGGCCCAGAGGTGGGAATTTGAGGGATGTTTCTGGAACAGCAACAGGACTGACCCAGATGTCGGTTCAGATTATAGTTTATCCAGGCCAGAGCTCCCTGGGAAGTGTCTATTAGTTTGTCCTGACCAAAGGCACAGCCAAAGGCCTTCGGCTCCCAACCTGCTAGCTGTGGTAGGGAATTGAGGAAGCTAGCGAGGTCTTGGACTGTATCAAGAGGCCTACCTCCTAGGCACAAGCAGGTGATATGTTGCTCCCAATGCATCCTGCCCTGGTGACACCACAGGTGGTGTATTCAGCCCTGGGCACCATGGTTTAGGATGGGCTTCGAGAAGCTGGAGATCATCCCAGAGTGGGTAATCCACGCCCTTGAGTCCACACCATATATGGATCAATAGAAGTTACTGAGCATGTTTGGCTTGGAGAAAACTTATAGGGAATGCCCTTTCTCAAGGGTTGGAAGGGCTGCCACTTAGAAAAGGATGGCTTAAATTAGGCAGCTTGATAGTGTAGAGTACTGGACTTGGCATCAGGACAGATCTGAGTTCAAATCCTGCCTCACATACATACTGGGTGCATGACCCCGCACAAGTCACTTAACCTCTCTCTGCCATCATTTCTTCATCTATAAAATGGAAAAATAATAGTACCTATATCTCAGGAATGTTATGAGGATCAAATGGGGTACCATAGGTGAAGTTCCATGGAATGCTTGCTGTTATTATCATCCTTTTCTGACCCAGAGGGGAGACCTGGGAGCCAAGAGTAAAAGTTGTGAAGGGGCTGATTTGGGTTGGAGGTCAGGACAAGCTTCCAAACAATCAGAGCTGGCCTAATGTGGCCTGGGTGACCTGGAGAGGGGGTAGATTTCCTCTCACTAGGGATCTATGAGCAGAGGCTGGTACAGGTAAGATTAAGTAGTCTCTGAAGTCCCCGATATTTTCAGCCTTCAGTGCCATTCTAGGGACAGGGGGCATCACTTAACCAATCAGAGCTTCTGGGATCTGGACTATTTTAGATCCGTTTACCCTTGTCCAGGCTTTTGACATAGAATCAAAACATGTCATATTTCCCATTCACGTACTTTGAATCTGACGTTACTCAGTTTCACAATCAGATAGTTCTGTTTGGTTAAAAAGGGGGATTTGGGGCTTTTGATGGGCCCTAGCTTTTTTTTTTTTCCCATGAACTGGCAGGCTGAGAATCTCCTTGAAACAATTGTTTTCTTTCTTCAGTTCTTATTGAAATTAGAATTTCCGCTGCAGTTTTATTTTTCTCTCTCATTTACAGTGTTGTTGCAGAATAACCTTTTATTTTTTTACATAAAGCTGAACATGTGACACCACTAAATACTTGGACATCATAAGTGAAATGTTGCTTAGTTCAGCTCCTGTTGGCCTTGTCCAAGTCCTTGTGGATCGTAGACCCACAAAGCTGGGAAATGAGCAGGACATCACAACTTGGCATGTGCTTACATGGTGCAGTAGAAGCAACCCTGACTCTAGAGGCAGAGGGCCTGCATTTAAAACCTACCTATGTAGGTTTGGGCAAGTCACTACCTCTCCAGACCTCAGTTTCTTCATGTCATGGGAGATTCAACAGAGAAAGAGACTTCAGAAGCCACCTAGTTTCTTTACTTTTTGGAGCAAAAACTTCCTCATGTCACAGGATAATAGACGTAGAAGTAGAAAAGGCCAAGCCTTCTAGGCTGACCTCCACATTTTGTAGATGAGGAAACTGAAGCTAATTAATGAAGTGACTTGACCAGGGTCACATAGCTAGGAAGTGTCACAGGTAGGAAGTAAGCCCAGTTCTCCGTTACTCCAAGCCCAGTGTTCTCTACATCATGCCAGGCTGCCGTTCACTCAGTCAAATAAGGGAGATTATCCCTGTAGTGCCTCCCACCTCGAAATTTATGATTCCCTGATCTTCAGGTACAGAGCAGGGCAGCTTCCATGCACCTTAGCACAAGGAAGCTGTCTTGGGAGCTCAGACTAACGAGACGAGCCCTCTTCAGCCCTGGATTGTTAGGGGGCAATGGCCCCCTAAGTGGTCTCCTTTTCTCTAATCTCTCCTCTCTCCGACCAGCTGGTAAATTTTTGTTTTCCCATAGTGCAGATCTGACCATGTCACTCTTTTGTTCAATATACTTCTGTAACTCCCTGTAGGGTCAAATATAAACTCCTCTGTGTGGCTTTAAAACACTTTATGACCCAGCACCATCCTATCTTTTCTAGTCTTATGACATAGAATTCCCTTCAAAGTCAAGTCAAATCAATAAACATTTATGAAGTACCAGCTATCAATCAACATTTATTAAGCACCTGTTATATGCCAGACACTGTGCTAAGTGATGGGGATTTAAAAAAAAAAAGGCAAAAGCAGTTCCTGTTTTCAGGGAACTCACAGTCTAAAGAGGAGTAAAACATGCGAATAAAATAAATATCGGATGAATTCTAGATAATCTCAGAAGGAAGGCACTAGTATTTGAAGGCACTAGCATAAGGATTGGGAAAGGTCTCTCGCAAAAGGTGGCATCTGAGCTGAGCCTTAAAGAAAGCCAGGGAAGCCAGGAGGCAGAAATGAGGAAAGAGGGCATGGTGAAATATATCGAGTCAAGCCATGGAGGAACAGCACATAAGCCAGTGTCACTGGATTGTGGAGTACGGGGAAGGGAGTAAAGTGTGTGAAGACTGGGAAGGTAGAATGGGGCCAAGTCTTTAAAAGTGAAACCGAATTTTTTATCTGATGCTGGAGGTGATAAGGAACTACTGGCGTTTATTGAACAGGGGAGTAATGTGGTCAGACCTGCACTTTAGGAAAACCACTTTGACAGCTGAGTGGAGGATGGACTGGAATGGGGGGAGACTTGGGGCAGGGAGAACAACCAGAAGGCTGGTGGTAGTGTCAGAGAAGAGAGAAGGTATATGTGAGAGAGGATGCCAAAGTAGAATCGATAGGACTTCGTAACAGACTGGATATAGGTGAGGATTGAGAACGTCACTTAATTTGTAAGCCTGGGTGATTGAAGAATGATGGCGCCTTCAACAGTAGTAAAGAAGTTAGGAAGAAGGAAGCATTGGGGGGGGGGAAGTTAACGAGTTCAGTTTTGGACATGTTGAGTTTAAGATATCTATGGGACATTCAGTTAGACATGTCTAATAGGCAGTTGGAGATTGGCAAGACTGGAGGTTGGGAGAGAGGTTAGGGCTGGATTGATAGACTGAAGAATCACCAGCATTGAGATGATAAAGGAATCCATGGGAGTTGATGAGATCACCAAGTGAAATAGTATAGAAAGTGTAGGGAAAAGGGTCCCGGCTAGAGCCTTGGGCATCTCCCATTGTTAGTAGGCACACATTCCATCCAGCCAAATTCACCTCTTTGCTTCTTGCATTTACCATCTCCAGGGATATTACCATAGCCCTGGGTATCCTGTGTGCCTGGAATGCACTCCCTCCTCAGCTCCTTGGTTTCTGTTCAAGGCCATCTCATTCCCCTTCTCCCAAGCTGCCAGTACTTCTCCTTCCAAGTTACTTTGTATCTACTTTTGTACATACCAGCATAGGTGTACATTGTATACCCCCCCTTAAAATGTAAGTTCCTCGAGGGCAGGGACTGTATTTGGGGGGTTTTGGGGTCTATGTCCCTGGCTCCTCCTGTGGTTCTTTGTAGTAGATGATTAATAAATGTTTGTTGATGAATGAAGAGACAGAGACAGAGGGGAGAGGGAGAGGGGAACTTATTCTTCAAATTTCACACCGATTTCTAATTCAGAAATCCTTTTAAATCTGAAAGAGGCAGGGGCAGCTAGGAGGTGCAGTGGATAGAACACCGTCCCTGGAGTCAGGAAGACCTGAGTTCAAATCCAGCCTCAGACACATAACACCCCCTAGCTGTGTGACCCCGGGCAAGTCACTTGACCCCATTGCCTAGCTGAAAAAAACAAAAACAAAACAAAACAAAAAAACAATCTGAGAGAGGTAAAATTTCGGATAAGTAAGAGACTGCCTACTTGACTGCCCCCATGAGAGTGCATAGTTGTAACGGATAATTACATAGCACCTTCAATGCATTATCACATTCTGTTGTCGTGTGCATAAAGGAGATCCCATTTTTAAAGAACTTTGCAAACCTTAAAAGTGCTATGTAAATGCTATTATTCATTATCATTTTTCCCATTTGAACTATATATCAACCCTGTGAAGTCAGTACTAGAGTCAGGATTCTTCACCTGGCTTAATGATAGAATAGGCTAGGTCACTAATCCAACTGGCACATTTTGTAGATGAGGAAACTGAGTCTCAGAGGTAAAGTGACTTGCCCGAGGTGACGTGGGCAGTAAGTGTCACAAGTGGGACATGAACCCAGTTCTCCCTGATTATAAGCCCAGTATTCCATCTACTATGCCAGGCTGCCTCTCAGAGAGTGTCGACTGAGGGAGTTGGACTAAAACTCCATGAGGTGGGCATTGTTACTATCCCATTTTACAGCTGAGGAAATTGAGGCAGAAACATATTAAGTGACTTGCCCCAGTGTCACATAGCTAGTAAGCATCAAAGGCGAGATTTGAACTCAGGTTTTCCTAACTCCAGGCCCAGGACTCTTACCTATTCACCATCTTCAAATGAGATATTGTATGTAAATCATTTCACAAACTTTTAAAATGCTTTGTAAAAGTCCATAAGTTATATCTACCCTTAAAATATGAATATTTCCCATCATTCATGCACAGAGTGCTGGACTTGGGCCCAGGAAGACCTGGGTTCAAATCCTGCCTAAAACCTTTATGTCTTTGAGTAAGTCACCAAAGAAAGCTCTGTTTGCCTTGGTTTCCTCGTCTGAAAAAACAAGGATGGTGATACCCCTAGTGCCCAACTTACAAGATTGTGTAAGGCTCAGATGAAAATGATGCCAGTAAAGTGATTTCCAACCTTTCACTATCTTCGGGGAAGCAACATGGAGTAGTAAGTGGGTGACCTGAAAGTTAGGAAGACCTGTGACACATTCTAGCTGTGTGACCCAAGACACGTCCCTCAGCCTCGCAGGAGTCCAGGAAACCTTCAAGAGGAGTTAGAAGAGGAGGTGTCAGTCTGTATCATTGTAGAGGAAGTGTCCTCACTTTGAACTTCCCTCTGGCAATGACATCACATGTCCCTTTCCTCCTACTGTCGGTAACTAAGGATGGTGATGGTGGCGATGATGAGGAGTACATCACGGACTTTTCTGGAAGGGGAATTGCTACCATGTTTCCAATAATAGTAATAGTATGGGAATAACAAATGAGTGAAGGAATAAGGCATTTATTAAACTCTTACTGTATGCACAGTGATGCGCTAAGCTTTGGGGATACAAATAGAAAAGTGAGACGGTTCCTTCTCTCAAGGAAGGGACAACTCTTAGAGAAGATTTTGGCTGCAGGTGACATAGCAAGGTCCCACGGTCCTTGGGATGCAGCGGCAATAAAGCAGAAGCAGATGGCTCTTCTTTAGTGCCATCTTTACTGGTAAAATCATATCAGTTTCTTATGTTGAATCATCTGACAATGCCAAGGGTTGTGGTGGCAAGACCTTTGTTATCTAGGTTTTTGGTAGAATACGCATGTGAAGTCCAAGGGGACTGCTTGGAAAAGGTTAATACTCATTTCCTGTATTTTAAGTTCTCAACTTATTTGTTAACCTACTTCACATCTTAATTGTGATGTCAGAATGTAATCATTTTAATCACATCTTAGAAGTTCAGAAAGGGCTTAGCTGAGTATTTGGAGGAGAGATCGTTTAGGGGACATTGAGGTAATGTAAAGGAAGATTTGGGCTAGATTCATCACTAATCTTAGAGATTAAGATCAGTATCAGTTGGGACTTCCCTGGTCCTTTGCTGGTTCCATCAAAGACAGATTCTTGTGCTTCAAAGATGCTGCTTCCACTTTTTTTAAATTAAATTTTCTTTTATTTAAATTATTTAAGTTAAATTTAAATTATTATTATTTATATTATATTGTATTAATATTATATTATAACTATATACCATATAATGTAATAAATATAATAATTATATATTATACAACACAATATTATATTTATTATATAGATTTTATTGTGATATAAATATTATAGTATAGTATTTTATCTGTTATATTATAATATAATAATAATTAAATATAATTTAAATATTATGTAACATATTATATATGATATTAAATTAAATTAATTTAATTAAATCTTTTTTTTTCCTTGACCAATAAGCGTTCATTTTCTCTCCCTTTCACCTCCCTTGGCCAGTTTCCTCCATGGTATCAATTGAGGTCCTTACTAATAGTGCTGCTGAAAGTTGAGCAGGAATTGTAATCAGAGATCCTGAGTTCAAATCCCACTGTTGATGTTTACTGTCTTTGTGACCTTGGGCAAGTTTCTTTACTTTTATAGGCCTCATTTTCCTCATCTGTAAATGAGGGGGTTGGATTTGGTGACCTATGAGGTTCCCTCTTGTTCTAGGCCTATGCTTCTATGCTCCTCTAAGTTTCTTCTTTTGTAAAATGATGTCTGACTAGTGGGCCAACCTCTAAACCTGTGGTCCATCAGGATCCCTGTGGGAACTAACTGACGATAATTCTTTTGTTTGTGTTCTAGGTTACAGCCCCGGGAATAATTGCCAAGTAAGTCAGCCCTCTCCCTGAGCAAGAATCCCCTAAATCTTTCCCTTCCTCAAACAGCTTCCACCAGATCCCCTTGGCTTTCTGCTGAGGGTTAATAGACTTCCCCAAAGTAAGGGCGTCTGTGTTTCGCTGCTGAGCTGGGAGCTGTCCAGCCTTTTACCCACCCACCCAGTGTGCCTGGCCCTGGCCTGAGACCCCTTTGTCTTTGCCCCTGAGCTAGGAGGGGCTGAATCTGGGGAGGGCTTTCTCCTGAAGGGATGGAACTGATGCCAGGAACCCAAGCCACAAGTGCTGGCTTATCCCACTGGGGTTTTCCAGGTTGGAGTGGCAACCAGCCATCTGCTGATACTGTCTCACTCCTGATTTTTTCAGCTCATGGATGAAGCTTTTATGGGGAGGGACCTAGGTAGAGTCCTGGTGACCCAGGACAAAGACACCATTTCCTTGTCTCCCTTCCTTCACATCTGGCCCAGGGACCTTTTTGGCTGGTGAAAAGAAGGAAGGAAAAAAAAAAGAGCACTTATAAAGTGCCTACTGTGTGCCAGGTGCTTTAGAAAGAAAATCTCATTATATACTCATAACAACCCTGGGAAATAGGTGCTACTACTATTCCCCATTTTACAGTTGAGAGACTGAGACAAGCAGAGGTTAGGTAACTTGTCCAGGGTCACACAGCTAGCAAGTAAGTATCTGAGGCCAGATTTGAACTCAAGTTTTCTAGACTCCAGGCCCAGCGGTCTATCCACTGCACCAGCCTAGGGAGTAGTCAGTCCTAGGAACCTAGAGCATCCTCCTCTCCTGGTGTATCCCAGCCTGCCACCAGCCTGAGCTTTGGGCTGCCCTGAATTGGACTGAGGATTGGGAAAGGGGGCGTTCCTCCCTCCTCAGGGCCAGAGCAGCGTGGTAGAGCAGAGTGATGGTGACCTGGGAGGTCAGGGTTTGAGGTAGGGAGTTCATACTCTTAAACCAAGCAAGCTTGGGGGAAGACTTGGGGACAGGGCAGAGTGCAGGGAAGGAAACTGGATTGTAGCTACAGCTTTGAACTTCCTGCCCTGAGGCTCTGTTCTCTTGGCTCTTCTCTCCTTCCCTTCCCCTCTTGCCTGCCCCACCATAGGGGTGCTAGCAAGAACTGCCGTGACCTCCAGTGCCAGGACCTTAGCATTACTTTTTTTTCTCTAATTTGAAGATTTAATACCGAGAATGGGGGAGGGTAAGGGTGTCATAGCCCATTATGATGACAATCAGTCCCCTACTTCCCCCTTCCCCCCAGACAAGAAGATTAAGGCTTATGAAATTAATTTCCCAGCCAAGCCCTACCTGGGATAGAGTGGAAGTTGTCTGGACAAAGTCTAGCTTCATCTAGGGCTCTCTGGAGGAGTAGGAATTAATCTTTGATTAATAAAATGCTAGAGCCGGGAGGGCCCTTAGAACCCTGAATGCCAGAGCTGGGAGGGCCCTTAGAACCCAGAATGCCAGAGCTGGGAGGGCCCTTAGAACCCAGAATGTCAGAGCTGGTTCCCATAGTTTCTCATCCAAATCCTTTCTCTCAAACTCCAGTCTTCATTGTACCCCTGCTCTGTGCCCATCCCTGTGTTGTGCTATACCAGGGAGCACAGAAGTGTGCAATATCATCCCTGCCCTTGGGGAGCTTCTATTCAAGTAGGAATGACAGGACACTCAGATGTGCACATGAAAAGATTGGATTCCATAAGATACCATGTGATCAAGGGCTCAACAACGGTGCATTGCGTCCCCAAGGGCTACAAGAGTTCCTTTGCAGAAGTAGTGCAGTACAGTGTCTAGAGAGCTCAGCTTGGAGTCAGGAAGACCAGAGTTCATTTCCTGGCCCAGATACTGGCTACTTGTGTGACCCTGGGCAAGCCACTTAACCTTTCCTAGCCTCACTTTCCTCATCTGTAAAATGAAAGGGATTGGACTCAATGGCCTTTTAGGTCCCTTTCCATCTCTAGATTTAGAGCTTTTTGACTCTGGGCTAGGGCACGTCAATTAACCTCTCTCTGTCTCAGTTTATTCAGCTGAAAATGGGAATACTAATAGCACCTACCTCACTGGGTTGCTGTAAAATTCAAATGAGATAAAAAATGTATATATGTAAAAATATATATGTATATAGATTATATTCAATATATGTGCATACAGTATATATATGGCTAGTTACTCCAGACCACACTGATCTCTGAATAATATTATTAATAATAATGGCTAATATTCACATATGTTTACATATACATGTGTATATCTACACACACACATATATAGTATATACATATATACAGTATACATATATATCTACATGCAATTTATACCTATATACAGTATGTGTACACACACACATACATACATACATATATACACATATACATACATACATACATACATACATACATACATACTCTGGGGAGCTAGGTGATTCAGTAGATAGACCTCTGGACCTGGAGTCAAGAAGACTTAAGTTCAAATTTGGTCTCAGACACTTACTAGGTGTGTAACCCTGGACAAGTCACTTAACCCCAACTGCCTTAAAAAAAATGAGTTAGAGAGGGGAATGGCAAACCATTTCAGTATCTCTGCCAAGAAAACCCCAGAGTCATGGAAAGTCCAACAGAACTGAAAAATGACTCAACAACATCATATATACGTGTTTATATATATATATATATATATATATATATATATACATATATATATATATATATATATATATATATATGTATGTATGTATATATACACACACACATACATATACATATATATACATACATATATATATACACATATATACATACATCTATATGCATCACACATGCATACTACATGTATAGCATATATATGCATACACACATATACATGCATATGTACGTTTATATATATATTATCAAGCCAGAAGCTTGGCTTTGACAGAGGTGGGTAGAGCCCTGCCCCATCCTCCTTAGACCAAAGTTCTCAGCATCAGGAGTAAGGCTTCCTGTTGATATTTGTAGCCCTCGTTTGGGTCTCTCCTATCCCAAGGGTCATATTGGGGTCCCTCATTTTTCAAGCCCACATCCTCTATGTCAGCAGTCTAGGAGTCTTCCAAGGAATGCCGAGATCTCTGAAAAGCAAGGGTTAATGAGTGGTCGCCCTGCTGTGGAGACAAACGACCACTTGACCCCATTCTCCAAGGAGCCCCTTGGCCTGAATCTGAATGCTACTGAGAATCTTGGCCCTGGGGACATTCCTGAGCCCCGGGCGACCACGGAACACACTAATAACCAGATTGGTGAGTCACTGGGGTCTGGTATGTGCAGCTGTCTGGTCGGGAGGAGTCGAGACCTTGACACCAGAAAACTTCATTAGCAAGTGAAAAGGCCAGTGTGGCACAAAGATTGTTCACCCTAGAAAGCTTGGGGGTTACGTTACTTCAGACCCAGCTCCAAAGCTTATTTCTGTGTTAGGCAAATCACTTAATCTCTCAGGCCTCAGTTTCTTCCTTCACAAAACAAGAGTATTAGACTGGATGAGAGTTTGAGAGCTGGAAGGAAGGCTGGAGGGCATTTCATTTTATCCCTTCATAAAGTAACTGAAGTTCAGAGAGGTTGAATTGTCCAAGGCTTCCCAGGTCCCAGGCAGAGGTGCAGTTTGCAGCCAAACCCTCTGTATAGCCAACATCCTATAAGACTTTTCCTCCGGCTCCTAATCTAAGATCTTGCAGATTTATCGGCTGTGTGACCTTGGGCAAATCATTTCAATCTCTGGTTCCTTATCTACAAAATGGGGACAATCTCACTTGCACTGCCTACTTCCCAGGGCAGGGGTAAGAAAATCTCTTAGTTAACATCTGAAGAGTTATAGAAATGTCAATGATTTATGGCAATTCCTAGCACCCCCTTTTTAAAAGCACCCATTCAAGCACCAAGTAGATGTAAGAGCATTGAGAGAGAACACCTGATTTGTGTTTTCTCACTTTAGTTGGGGTGAGGGGGAGGGGAGAACACCCCAAGGAAGTACAGAGATGAGGCTTCACATGGAGTAAGTGCTCAGTCAGTGGTTGCTAAATGAATAAATTGGTGAAGAATATGGAAATGACCACTGTGGGCATGGGCAGATGCAAAGGGACAGGATACAGAATGGAATACATGAGCTGACGTGGAATGTTGCCAAGGAAGCACTCAAAGTGAGCTGGGGTTAATCTCAGAAGGCTCCCTAGACTAGAAGGTTAGCTCTGGCCTGGATCTTGAAGGAGGCAGTAGATATGAGAAGGAAGGAAGGAAGGAAGGAAGAAGGAAGGAAGGAAGGAAGGAAGGAAGGAAGGAAGGAAGGAAGGAAGGAAGGAAGGAAGGAAGGAAGGAAGGAAGGAAGGAAGGAAGGAAGGAAGGAAAGAAGGAAGGAAGGAAGGAAGGAGAGAGGGAGAGAAAGAAGGGAGGGAAGGAGGGAAGAAGGAAGGAGGGAAGGAAGGATTTATTGAACTCCTCCTTTGTACCAGGAACTGTGCTGACAACACAGGGATGGTTACATTTGAGGGGTACAATGAAGACTAGAGACTGATAGAAAAAGTTTGTAAAAAAAAAATCCAGCCTCACACAGATATGTAGTTGGAAAGGGGAGGAGCATTTTAATAGGCAAATAACATCATAGCATTATTATGAAAATAGTTTTGAGGGCGGCTAGGTGGCACAGTGGATAGAGCATCGGCCCTGGATTCAAGAGGACCTGAGTTCAAATCCGCCCTCAGACACATAAAAATACTTACTAGCTGTGTCATCCTGGGCAAGTCACTTAACCCCATTGCCCAAAAACAAAAACAAAAACAAAAAGAAACTAGCTTTGCCCTCTGCGGTCCCATCCAGCTCTAAGTTTCCGATCCTGTGATTCTAGGCCACTTTCCCTCCCTGGGCCTCAGTTTCTTCATCTGTAAAATGAAAGGATGGGACTAGATGAGGTCCCTTCTAGCTCTGGATCTGCGGTCCCACGATGCCCTGATTCCAAGGCTCTGAGCTGGTGTTCTCTGTATGGTACTCAGGGACTCTAACAGGTCTTCAGATCATACTTTGGGAGCTACTGATCTAATCCAACCCCCCATTTTACAGATGAAGAAACTGAGGCCCAGGAAGATAAAATGGCTTTGAAGCTTAGGATCATGGCTTTAGAGCTAGAAGGGAGCATGGAGATGATCTATGACCATTCCACTTTACAGATGAGAAATGTCAGCCAGAGGTTAGGTGACATGCCCAAGGACATATAGATGCTAAATGTCTGGGGGGGGGGTTGGACCCAGGACTTCTGATTCCAAAACTGCACTTCATCTTAGAGAACCAGGATGCTGTTTACCATAAAGCAGAGCTGGGATCTCAGGGAGAGTCTGAGTGGCAGCTCTGGTGTTTCCCAGGGGAGAGCCATTTCCTCCTTGAGCCCTAGGGGGGGTCTCCCCAGATCGTCCCAGCCATTGAGGAGCGTTTCACCCTGGTGCTCCACCCACCCCACATCAGTGCCCAGTGGCCCAGCCACACGAGAAACCGCAGTCCCTGACAGAAAGAAACTTCCCTAAATTCAGCAGGCAGCCTCTGGAGCAAGCTGCTGCTGGAGCAAGGGAAGGAGGGAAGTGGGAAGAGGTGGGCAGCCTCTGCAGTGGGCCTGAGGCCACCTTAACTTGTTACCTGCCAAAACAGTTTTTAATGGGCTTATATACCCTGCCTCTAATGTACCCTGGTTGTGTAACTCCGACCAAAGGTCATGTCACTGATTCCAGGCAACTGTTAAGACAGAGAGTAGGGGGAGTTTTCTTGCCCAAGAGTTTCCTATGCCAGTAAAATCACAGGTCCAGAATCTGTCCCTATTTTTCAAAAATGAAGAAGGGTCAGCCAGGTGGTGTAGTGGATAGAACACTAGCCCTGGAGTCAGGAGGACCTGAGATCAAATCCAGCCTTAGACACTAGCTGTATGACCCTGGCCAAGTCATTGCCTCCAAAAAATAAAACAAAATGAAGGAGAGGCAGCATGTGGTGGAAGAGTGTCTGAGTCTCAGTTCCTTCATCTGGAAAATGGGGTTAATAATAACACCTATCTCCCAGGGTGAGGCCCCAGGAAGGTCATGTTTATAAAATGCTTTGCAACCCTAAAAATGCTATAGAAATGATACCTGTGATCATTATGGTGTTTGTCCAAATCCAGCTTCACCCTATCCTCTTGCCTTGCAGAGAATATCTATATCATGAAAGCCGACACAGTGATTGTTGGGTCTGTCACTAGAGTGTCCGAGGGCAGGAACCCCGTTGTGACCTTGGGACTTGAGGAGACGGCCCTGGAGACTGACCAGTCTACCCATTATCCAGAGCAGGAGACAGAGTTGTCCCCTGGGGGCCACATCGAAGTCATGTTCTCCGTGGAGGAGGAAGGGAAGGAGTACCACTGGCCAACAGCTGTGTCTGCCAAGTGAGGGCCAGAGGAAGGAGGCCAGGCATCTCTGAGAGTGAGCTGGGAAAGCTGAGATAACAAGCTGGGCAGAGCTGGGGGCCATCTCTGCAGCTCAGGGGTCTCAGGACCCGAGCCTGAGCTGACCTTCCTGAATTGCTTTATGGATTACCCTGGAATGTTCCTGAGGGCATTCTGGTTTTGGCTAGATGCTGATACCCTGTCACAGACCTACCTTTTAAAGAAAGAAGAGACTTAGGGATAAGAGGGATGCTGAAGAGTCGGACAGGAGGTTTAGTTGGCTCGGGGAGACACAAAGGTTTCTCCTTCCCCATCATCTCTCTGTTGCTTCCCTGGAGTCCATTCCTAGACCACCCAGGCACACTTGGCTGCCTCCATCAGGGAGCTTGGAATCCATTCTGTCCAGAGTGGCAGAAGCCAAGCGGCTAGCTTTGGCCCTAGGCCATTGCTTACTTTTCCTGATACCCAACACCCCGGAGTCCCCTTCCTGAAATGTTTCCTGGGGCCAAACTGGCATATGCCTTACTGTAAACATACCCCTCGGAGAATGTGGGTGCCTCAGAAGTAGGCTCTCAGCCAGTCCCCTGTGGTTATACGACTTGACTCAAAAGGGAAGTTGAACTGGGATTTGTGTTCCCAGTATGGTGCCTGCTCTTCAGATCTTGTGAGCCCTGGGCAAAGACCAGTGGGTTGTAGGTTCAGGGGCACTCCTGCCTGGCAAGCAGCTGCTGCTGACCACTCCCACTGATGGAGCCCCACTTACCCACCAGCCCCAGTGAGGTCTGGGTGGTTACAGGTGCTCATGTCGAGTGACATCTTCCTTCATACCTACTGCTTCCTCAATCTCCCTGGTATTGCCCTATAAGAACACCAATTAGGACATGAGATTTTCTAGCAGGCAGGGCTCACCTGTCATCTAGAGTAGAGGCCTCCTAGACCCTGAGCCCCCTACCTTCCTTCTCCCCTGGCTTAAACTAGAGACCATGAAGGAGAACCTTGGAGTAAGGGAAATCCAGGTTCAAGTCTCACCCGATACTTAGCTGCATGACCCTGGGAAAGTCACTTAACTTCTGTTTTCCTCAGCTTCCTCATTTGTAAGATAAGAGGTGATCATCTCTAACTCTGCACCTAGAGAAGTGGAGGGAAGCAGTGTAGGAAAAAGAAAACAGGAAAACCATAAAAGACATTGAGCTAGGCCTGCCTGGAGTCTTTGCTTCTTCCTTATGCGGCCTCCCCCCTCTCTTTGAGAGGGTTGATTGCCCCTCCCAGAATGATAGAGAAGTAACTTTTTCTAAGGACTGCTGAGCTTGAAGAATGGTCTGGCGCGCTCTTGGGGGCCAGTGGCTCAGCAAGCCCCGGGCATAGTGGGAGACTTTGGACCTTTGCACTGTAATTTTAGTGTTTGATCTGCGCTTATCTTGAACCTCTGTATACAGGGAGAGAAAGATGGCAAGTGATCTGTCATTTGTGTGGGCCTAGATCTCTGTTTCCAAATCCAGTGGACTGAGGAAATGCTGCTTGGACTGCTTGCTCCATGAATCACCTTGTGTTTGCATTTCCACAGGTTTCTTTGCATTTCTCCATATTTGCATTTCACCTTTAGGACTGGAGCCCAATCAATACACATGAGCTGATAACATTTCTAGTTTAGCGTACATAGCAAAGAGAAAACTGAATATATCATTTCATACATGTATGGCTGGAAGGAACCTCGGAGGTCATCTAATCCAACCTCAGTTTGGGGTTCAGGCCCCAGTTCTGATGATCACTACTTATGTGACTTTGGACAGGTCACTTAATTTTGCTGGCCTCAGTTTCCTCATCTGTAAAATGAAAAGGTTGGACTATGTCTGAGGTGTCAAACTAGGTCAGCAGCTGTAAGTCACCAGCAAGACTCCCTAGTCCCAAACCAGATTAAAATGCAATTTAGAAATGTTTAAGAAAATAAATAAAAATACAAAACAACACAAATAATGTTCATTTGTAGTTTTCTAAGTCCATATGCCCAGGCAAGGGTCTATTTCTATTTGAATTTGACACCAATGGATTAGGTGACTTCTGAGGACCTGTAAGCTCCAAATTGATGAAAACTTCCCCATTTTGCAGATCAACAAGGTAAGCCCCATATTGTGTCCAAATCACAGAAGCAATAAGTGGCAAATCCAGGATCCAAATCCGGAACTCTTTCCCCCTACATCACAGAACTGGAGAGATTGGCATCAGTTATTGTAAACATTTCTGATTCTTTTCCTTGCTCAGAGTTAATTATGAACTCTGGATCAATGCTGAAGCATCTCTAATAAACCTTGGTTTAGCCTCCTAGTTGTCTGCATGTCAGTCATTTTGATTGGCAGCAGTAGCTGTCAGGGATTCCATGGATATTTCCATAACAGCAGAATCATAGAATTGAAGACTGGTAGCAGAATCACAGACTAGAGAATTCCCACCCAGCTACTTTCCTGGACTTCATCATCTCCAGAAACTCATCATTCTACAAGATGGAACCAATTTATAAACTCATACCTCCTCAGAACTGTTCCCACCATCCATAGGACTTTGTCATGTACGCCTGCTCTGCATAACCTTCCCTCCACCCCACCCCCACCATTCGCAGGTGTTGTAGCTTCCTTCAGATTGTGAGATCTTCGAGGAGAAGAATTGTCTTTTTTTTTAACTTTTTAAAAATAAGTTTTTATTGATATTTTCTATTCTTGCATTATCATAGTATCCCATGTATTCCTCCTCCTCCACTTCCCAGATCCCATAAGACAAATAGTATTTTTAGAGGGAAAAATAGGCAACCCAACTATTCGATACATTGAAAAATTCTGAAAACATGTGCAATGTATAACATATGTGGACCTTCCACCTCCACAAAGAGGTAGATTGGAGGAATGTCTCCTCCTATCTCTTTATTTGAGTCCTGCTTTTAATAGTTTTGTTGCATTTAATTTTTAGTTTTTGGCACATCACCATTCTTTCACTGTAGTTACTATGTATCTTGTTTTCTTGGCTTCGCTTCCTTCCTTCTGTATCAATTCATAGGAGTTTTTCCATACTCCTCTATACTCATCACACACATCATTTCTTACAACACAATCATCTTCCGTTACACTCATGGACCACAGTTTATTTAACCATTTCCCAACTGATGGGAATCTACTTTGTTTCCAATTCTTAGTTATCAAAAAAAAAATGCTACTGTAAACATTTTGGAGTCTATGGAAACATTTTTTCTTGTCAATGGCCTCCTTGGCATATAAGCCCAGTAATTGAGTCTCTGGTTCAAAGGGTATAAACATTTTAGTAGCCTTATTTGCATGATTCTAAATTGCTTTCCAAAATGGGTTCTACCAATTCTCAGCTCCTCCAACAATGTATTAGTGGGTCTATCTTTCCACAACCCCTCTAATATTGACTATTGCCATTTTTGGTCATTTTTACCAATATGCAGAGTATGAGGTGAAACTTCAGAGTTGTTTTGATTTGTTCTTGTTGCTAGGGATTTGGAGCATTTCTTCATGTTGTAGTGAATACTTTGCAATTGTTCTTTTGGGAACTGCTTGTTTGTATTCTCTGACCATTTAGCTACTGGAGAATGACTATTATTCTTATACATTTATGAATTGTATGTGTGTGTATGTATATGTATATATACATATGTATATGTATATATACATATATATATATATATATATGTAGAGAGAGAGAGAGATTACTAACCCCTTATAAGAGAAATTTGATACAAAAAAATTTCCCTCACATTTTCTTGAGCCTTTCTTTATATCCCCAGCATTTAACATAGTGCCTAGAGCATAGTAGGTACTTAATAAGTGTTTATTGACTATAAGTTGGAGGGGTCTCATCTACCATCTAGTTCATTCAACTCATAAACGAAAAGGAAGCCCTACTCTAAAATACCAAGTTGTGGTCTAGATTCAAGGCCTGGTTCTTTCATTCATGAACTTTTGTGATCTTTGAACAAGTCAGTTAACCTCTCAGCCTTCTCCTCTGCCACATAAGAAGACTGGATTGGACTCCGTGGGAATTCTTAACGTGAGGCCTGTACTTTTTTTTTCCATTTAAAATAATGATTCTGAGAAGTGGTCCATCAGTTTCACCATATTGCCTACCCAAAAGAAATGTGAGGTGGGCAAATTTAATGACGTCTCCACCCCAAATGTTCACGTGGACTACTTGTGCCCAACCTGTGGTAGAGCCTTCCAAGCTCATAATGGTCTGATCAGCCATAGTTGGATGCACTGTTCCTTGACTCCAACACAGTGCTGTCATTCTGGTCCTCTTCCAGCACCAAGGACAACAGCCAACCGATTGCCTCTGCAAGGGGTCCGAGAAACAGAGAAGTTTACGAACTCTTGGGTACAAGGATCCTGAAAGTCCCCTCTTGCTCTGATAGTCCATAAGACTAAAACTCAAAGCCCTGAGCTTTCCTTCCGACAGATAATTAGCCTTGAGAATAAAAGAACCTACGGAAATAAGTCATGGTGTCGGCTGTCCTTCCTTAGTGTTGCTGGGAGCCCGCATTCGTCATGGGCAAGTTTGAGGTGTTTGGATCTACCCCTGGTAGGTCTCAGGCTGTTAAAAAAAAAAAACCCTGTTTACTCATCAGACCACATTCTTTAGAGGAACTTGGGGTCTGGATCACGAGTACTCTTTTGAAATCACTCACAATGTTTTGCCCAAATTGGAAATTCTGAGAGAATGATACACTGGAAGACCTGGTAACATTAAAGCTGAGAACTCTGTCCCAGACTGGTGTAAATTTGAAATACCATTTTCCTTTTGCTGAGACTTGTTTGTTTTGCCTCCAATCCAATCCAATAAGCATTTATTAAGCACCTACTATGTGCAGACATTGGGCTAAGTGCTGGGGATATAATAAATAACAAAGAAAGATAGGCCCAGACTCCAAGAAGATCTGGTCATTGCCATTGCGAATATACAGAGTATGAGGTGAAGCTCCAGGGATTTTTGGATTTGGATTTCTCTTCTTATTAGCAATTCAGAGCATTTTTTTCATATGGTTGTGAATACTTTGCAGTTTGTTCTTTTGAAAGCTGCTTCTTCATATCCTTTGACTATTTAACTACTGGAAAATGGAGTCAGATGGTCTGGGTTTGAATCTAGGTTCTACTTAGCTGGAAGAGCCTCCCCCTCCCTGCCTCAGATTCTAGAACTGTAAAACCAGGGGATTGGACTATGTGATCTCTAAGGTTCTCTTGCAGTTCTAAGGTTCTGTCTTTAGAATACATTCATTCAATACATACAGAATCTCAGAGAAAGAAGCTACATGAGATCCCATGCAGGGCAGCCCATAACTGTGCAAGAATGACTCCTCTTAATAGAGATCCAAGCCAACCAATGGACATCCCGATTTTTGTGTGGTGGCTTCCATTGACGAGGAATTCACCTCCCTAGGGCCACCCGCTTTCCAGTTTAGGACCACTCTCATTGTTAGGAAGTTTTTCCTTGAGTCTATATCCATCTCTCTGCCCCTTCTACTCTACTTCTACCCTCTGGAGCCAAGCAGAATGAGGCCAATCCCATTCCAATCAACACTTCACATCATCATCACTGGTATAACAGCTAACATTTATTAAGCACCTAGTGTATGTCGGCCACTGTGTTAATAGATTTTTACAAATATTTTACCTTCAGGGGCAGCTAGGTGGTGCAGTGGATAGAGTACTGGTCCTGAAGTCCACTTCACAATTACTAGCTGTGTGACCCTGGGCAAGTCACTTAACCCCAATTGCCTAAAAAATAAATAAATAAACAAGCAAATAAACAAACAAACAAACAAACAAACAAATAAATAAATGGGAATTTAAAGATAAACAAATATTTTGCCTTCATAACAACCCTGGGAGGTAGGTGTTATTATTATCCTCATTTTACAGTTGAGGAAACTGAGGCAGATAGACGCTAAATGACTTTCTTAGGGTCACATGGATAGGAAGTGTTTAAGGCTGAATTTGAAATAAGATCTTTTTGAGTCCAAGCCCAGCACTCTGTGCACTGTCCCAACAGCTGCCACACACATACGTACACATGTACACACATATACATGTGTATATGTATGTATGTGGAAAAATTGAGATCCAGGGAGGTCAAATGAATTGCCCAAGGTCATACAGGAGGTAACCAGCAGAGGCAGGATCTGAACTTGGGTCCTCTGACTCCAGCGTCAGTTCTCCACCACTGATAAGGTCATGAAACAGTGCCTGCTGAGTAGCTAAGTCTCCATTCTGATGTTTGGAGGATTCTTAATAGTTCTGATTCTGCTTGGTGACTTCACTGCTTGTTCTCCCTCTCAGCCCACCCAGTTCTGGAAGCTTTTGGGAAGCAAAAAGAACCTCTTCCTCACAAAAAGGTCAAACCCTCTGTGGATGTGGAGGCAGGTAATTACCCAGGCTTCTTGTACTTCAGTCATCTAGAAATTGGTTTCTAAGCATATCTTCACAGGCCCACAGAATATTGGAGCTGGGAGGAACTTTAGAACACAGAATTACAGAGCTGGCAGGGGCCCTAGAACATGGAATATCAAAGCTGGGAGGGTCCTCAGAACACAGAATGTCAGAGCTGGGAGCATCTTTAGAGCACAGAATGTCAGAGCTGGTATGAAGCCTTAGAACACAGAATGTCTTTGTTTAAATTCCATTGTCTATCCTTCTGACTGTTCCCTTATTCCCATCCCCTCAACCCCAAACACTGAAGTTACCCCCTGCTTCCACTGAACTTTGGAAGGCTTGTTCCATAGATAGCTATAATGATACAAATAGCCTCCCCACTCCAGAGAAGCTCAAAACCTCCGAGTCACCCTGTTCAGAGGAAAACCAGCAGGAATGGCCCACACCCCTTTTTCCACCAGTGGGGAGTTTGAATATGAACTAGTTTCCAGTTCTCCCAAGTCTTCCTCCCCCCTCCCCATAGCATGAATCATCACCAGTGTCTGGGTCTAAGCTCCTTACTCCTTTCCCCCAGTGCCTGGTCCTATTAGACCTAGATAAGAACCCATTAAAAACCCATCAGATTGTATTTGTCTAGGGTGAAAGGGTGCCCCATTACTTCCAGGACTCCAGTGGGATACACCCAATTCCACACCAGTTCCAGCAGACCTGACCTCTTTCTACCTTCTTTCCTGACTGCCCTTTGTCTCCTCACTAGAGCTGGCTTGCTTTACTATCTTGCTTTCTTCTTAGACCTTGGTATTCTGAAGCTTCCTAAGTATGCAGTAAGACAATAACAAACCTACTTTCATCTCAAATCTTTTCTTTTCTTACTCCTACCTCCTTTGGGCA